TTTTATTTCCTGTTCTCCTCTCATATAGTACAATGAAATGTACGATTTAGTTTCTTTACAGTCAAAAATTTTTTTTCGCTCATTTTTTCCTCCTAACGGTACAATAAAATTGCAATTGGCTCATATGATCAAAGTTTGTTATCTGGTACACATTTTTAGGTACATCTAAAATTTTACGTTTAACGTCTCTTAGTGCAGATGCTTGATTTCCTCATGGACTTCCACTCAAAGATTAAAGTCTTGAAATTTAATGAGATGTTTTTTCCTCAGATCCAAACGAAGACTGAACGCTGTAATTAGGAGGCTTTTTTGTACTTTTTTCCTAATATTTTCTGTGAAACTCTATACACAACACGCACATTTTAAGCACACAAGCGTCTTTTTCTTCTCTTACATGTCAACCATAGAATGATTTAACTTATGCTGATGTTTAAAAATATGCGAACGATAATTTTTATAGTTTTTGAACTAGCAAGGACAAACAGCTATTCGATTTAGAGATTTTGTTCAGCAATGAGATATATGCATGCAAAACTAAGTGCGTTTAACGGCTCTCAGTACTGATGCTTGATTTCCTCATGGACTCTCACTCAAGGGTTAAACAAAAACACTACTAAATCATAATTTATTCTGCAGAAATAAACTTTCTTCCACTAATTCAAAGACGAAGTGGTTACAACTGAACTACTTTATCTCACTGATATAAACCTATGGTTCCTGAGATATTGCAAAAAAAGGTGCGTCATTTTCTCGAAATAAGGCTTCTTCCTCAGTTTTTAGGTTTTTAGAAAATTTAGAAGAAAGCCAAATCTTTGATTCAACATATCATTCGAGAGGACAGAAAACTGAATCTGAAGTGATACCGGTTGCTGCTGATGTTACATGGATGAATTGCGTATTAATGGATGCTATGTTAGCTGAAAGACGATATGAAATAAATCAAGAAGAAGAGGAAGAATGTCGTGATGCTGCACTTAGTTTTGGAGACAATGATAGGGAATCTGGTTGTGATGAAGAATTTGATTTACGTTGTGATTCAAAGCAAAAATCATGCAGTACATGAGTCAGATCATGCAGAGATGGTAAATAAATGTTGTAAGTGTTAGTTTATTCCAACGAATTTATTCGTTATCAGTATCCAGAACTTCCGAAAGAAGGAGAATACATCCTATTCCGCGATGTTGATCATTGCGGAACCAGTTCCCAACCAGGAACCACTTCCCAGTAATTCCGTACTAATGGAATTCCCGGAATTCCTTCTACGCGGAATTCCTAGGAATAACTAGGAATTCCGGAATTACTTGAAGCATCTATTGATATACGCCAGTGATCAAAACTATACAGCTTCTTCTATGACGCAATTCCCGGAATTCCTAGGAATAACCAGGAATTATTAGGAATTCCGGAGTTCCTTGAAGCATCTATTGATATACGCCAGTAATCAAAACTATACAGCTTCTTCTATGACGGAATTCCTTCCACCAGTATCTTGTGTGTAGAAAGAATGCAATTCAAACGTTATAGCGATTTTTCTTATAGAATGGATAATTTTGTTCAATTGAGTGCATTTCAATGAAGAATGGTTGTGGAGAGGCATCTCATTTTGTTCAGAAATATTTGCTCTATCGAATGGAGTTGTTTGCAAGAAGTTCTTGGTCGGACGCAGAGAACTGGTTTTGAGAGTGTTGGTTTTTGAGAAACCCTTTTTGAGCTTCCGCATCGATGTCTGAAAACTTTTTAAATATGATATTCTTGTTCAAAATTGAATTGTCATCTTGAAAGTCTCTTTGGGTTCCTTTATACCCAAACCTATTGAAGACTGGAACAGACTGGCCTGTTGTGTTGTTCGCCAAAATTCCTTGAGAGCTTTTAAAACTGTACTGAAACATCAACCACTTCTTGACTAATTTCTTTCCTTTGTGTACAGGATTTGGTTTACATTTTTCTCCTTTTCGAATTTTATTTTTTATTTTTCTTCTTTTAGTTTTTCACTTTTTTGTGGTAGTGTGAGTGTGTATGCGATGTAAACAAGCTCTGCTTTAATACAAATAAACTTCATTCATTCATTCAGTCATTCAACTACACAGCAACACAAACATAGATCTTGATTGGCATAGAAAGAAGTATGAAACACAAAGGATCGAACGTGGAATCAGTTAAATGCGATCAAATACTTGCCATGCTATGAGTTTTGGTGGAAATATAAGCATCACTGGAAATACCCTAAAAACAGTGACCTGTTTGCAAAATACGTTTTTAAAAAAACAAAAAAACACATTACTCTTTTTAGGGCATTTCCAAGGATGCTTATATCTCCATCAAAACTCATCAGAAAATTCTGGGAAACATCTCATTTTGAAGAGAAGGCTTCGTTCTAGCAGACGATGTATAAGAAAAATTTTGAACACGTACGAAAGGAAAGAAAACTTTATGAAACAAAATATTGAGTGTTTTAATGACTGATATTTATATGTCACATTTTGAAGAAGTTAATATGTCAGAGCTTATATAAATGGTGTACATTTATGGAAAAGGTACGTAGATGACACCTTTTTTTTGTTGAAAATAATGATTCCGTTTAAAAAATTTTACATGTTTTAAATTCTTATCATCCTAACATTCAATTTACCGTTGAAACAGAACAAAATAATACATTAAGTTTCCTTGATGTAAAGACTATTAGAATAAGAACAACAATAACACTCTCATATCAAACAACAGTATATGGGAAACCTACATACAGTGGTCTTATGACTAAATGGGATTCATTTGTTCCATTTTCCTAAAAAGATTGGCACTAAATACCATCATTAAACGAGCAATTCACATATGCTCAAATTATGTTCTGTCACATAATGAATTAGAATTTATAAAAGTGACTGCTCTAAAAAACGGCTATCCGCCTAATTATAGAAGTTCAGATAGGAATACAAATGTCAAAACTAATAAATTCATCATCATCCAACGTAATCACACCACCACAACCAAAAACTGATAATAAAAATAAATATTTATATTGTGAAATACCACATCGTGGTAAAACAACACAAATTTTTGCTAATAAATTAAAACATTTAATTCAACACCAAAAACCGACTAAACAACTACGAATTATACAGCGTCCACCAAAACCTATACAACAATATTTTCAAATAAAAGATAATATTCCACATCCATTAAGAATCTAATTTAGTTTATCATGTAGTTGCAAAAGACGGTAATGTTGATTACGTAGGTAAAACAATACGACAGATTAGCAGACGTTTCAATGAACATGGAATAAAATTTCAAATTGAGCAACAACAACAAAATAATTCAACATCACAACAACAAACAAATAATAGTATCACACCATTACAACAAAATTCTATTACTAACAATCATCATTTTATAACAAATCAACAATTACATCATAAACTTCTCGAAATAATTAATGATCGACAGCTAGAATATGCATGTCTAAACGCTCTTGGTGAAATACAGCGACCATTAGAGCAACCTCAACCATCAATTATATTACCATTAATTCCACCGACCCCAACAGTAGCCAAAAAATCACCGTTTTATATACATATGTTTGAAACTGGAAAACGAATAACAGTAAAAGACTATCATTTATTAATGACTGATAAACAACCAGACTTCTAATAAAAGAAGCTCTAGCCATAAAAAGCTTAAATCCCACTCTAAATAAGAGAGTTGCATCAACACCCGTCTACATTTATCCACTAGGTATACACTCAACCTTTATACCTGATCCTGGAGGTTACAGGAAAAAGAATCGAAAAAGTTTTTGACACAAAAACCGCAATAGACATTCCATAGTAACAATAAATATATGCGACAAGCTTTTGTATTTTTAGCTTTGTAATCGTTTTTAACAATTTTGTTTTCAAAGCTTGAAAATGAGTTCATGTGAACTCGAAACGTCGAAAGAAAATAAATTTATTGAAATCGCTGTAAAAACAACTTCTACTAATTCATCCTTGACCATTTCTCGATATAATTTTGTAACCTATCTCCGGCGGTATTATGACCACTCAGTTCTTCCACTATTTCGATCTTTTATTGATCAAAACCTTTGTCTTATGAAATTAGAACTTGATTTACAGTTTCTTAAAACATGCAGAGCTGAAAATCTTAAACCGAAATTCACGCATATCAAAGTTGCTTCCGCACATTTCAAATCATCTGAATCTCATACAAAATGTCAACAACTTATAATTAAATCAGTAGTCAAATTAAAGAAAAACTGCGTGAGTCATATACACAGATTTGTTAAAAGATTAAAACAAAATTTAAAACAAGCTGTTAATCCATCTGATTTTCAATCATTGTCGGCTATCACACAATCTATACAAAACGATAACAGACTACCTTGGCATACGAGACATGCAAAGAAATTTGATTTGTTACGCCAACAGAGACAAGAGCAGACTCGGCAACAACAGCTATTTAACCATAATGTAGTTATTAATCTTTCATCAAAAAATCTAACAAAAAATCAGTACGATACACTTGCTTTCGGTTTACAATATGTATTTCCGCCAACCTCTATAGATCATATTCAATTAATAGCCGACATCGAACTTCTCTATGCAAGATTATGCAAAATTCAACCCCAATGTGATGAATGGAAAAAAATTATCAACAGCTTCAATCTGCAGCAATTTCGAGCGTTATGTGATAATTTCAGACATCATACTACAAAAAATCTCAAAAAACCAGACAACAACATTCGAAAATATATTGCTGCACTAAAAACATTAGCAAATGACCATACAATAGTGATTACCAAACCAGATAAATCTAAAGGAGTTGTTACCATGGACAAGGTCGACTATATTAACAAAATGAACGATATACTATCCGATTCAACAAAATTCAAAAAATTAGATCATGATCCCACAATACAAAAAGAAGATACATTAACACGTTACTTATTAAAGCTACATAAAGAAGGATTAATCAGTGAATCCGATTACAAAGCAGCAAGACTATGTGGTTCACGTCCAGCTCGACTATACGGCTTACCGAAAACACACAAGCCAAATCTACCATTGAGACCCATCATGTCCTTCATCAAAACCTTCAATTATAAGCTATCCAAATGGCTAGCTGAACTTCTACAACCTCTTCGTAAAAGTTCTTGTACCATTAAAGACACGTTTGATTTTATCAAATTAACAAAAACATATAATACACAATATTCAGAAAAACAAATGGTATCATTCGACATACAAAATCTTTATACGCAAATACCAATAGCACAAACAATACAAATTATTCTCAACAAAATGTATCCACATATAACACAAAACCACCAATGTAAAAAACAAATGCATAGTACTAAACATCTTTGCGCTAACTGTCTGAATCGAGAAACACTAAAAAAATTATTAGAGATGGCTACAACACAGTCACATTTTCTGTTCAATAATCAATTATACGAACAAATTGACGGCCTTTTTATGGGCTCACCACTGGCTGCTATAATGGCTGATATTTATATGTCACATTTTGAAGAAGTTAACATGTCAGAGTCTGACAGCTTTTCAACGTTTCCCCAGCGCATTTACGATTTAATGTGCTTTCATCGAGGGAATAGTATTTCTTAAGAATGGTAATTTTCAAAAAATTACACTTTTCAGAAGTCTTAGGGAGTAGAGGTGTTACTTTACGCTTCTTTACCAAGTGATAAGTAATAAAAGTTATTAGTTATTATCAGGAAGTAAGTAATAAATCTTTTTTCTTTATTAATTTTCACGTAATAAGTAAAATAAAAATAAATTATTACATGAAAAAGTAATACGTAATAAAATAACAAGATTTATTGCTTTTACCGATAATAAGTAACAAACACTTATTGCCTTTACCGGATAATGTAATAGTTGGTAAGTAGTACTCCTAGTAGGGATTGCAGGAAGTGTAATTTTGAGAAATAACGGGACTTTTTGTTCGTTCTCCTGTTCTTCAAAGGAGAGTCACTGGTGGTTAGAAATCATGATTTTTTTAATATGAAATTAGCTCTTAATTTATACAAACTTTTAAAGGAAAAGTATTGCAAAAATACTAAAACTGACTATCAACTTTCAGATGAACTTTCTTGAATCTCATTCGATAATGATTGTTGTTCATTGATTTTCTGTTTTCCATTAACAACTAATATCAAACTTTTATGGTATCGACAATCGATAGTTAAATTCCACCGCTGAATCCAGAAATCAGTTTGAAATTTGTCTACAATATCCTGTGTATCAGATATTCTAGTCAAAATAGTGATTTCCAAGGAAAATAATGCTAATAATGGTAACGACGATGTCAAAAGAGTTTGCCATAATTGACTGTCTGTGTAATTGAAATCGTCTAATTGTCCTTTGATTGTTAATTTCTTTAATTTTGGTAAGTATTTCAATAATAGTTCGACGTTATTAAATGGTACGAAGTATAAGAAAACATTTAGGCTATTTATCATCAAATGAGTTTCACCTAATGTACGATAATCATAGTTACACAAATACCGAATATTCAGCTTTCGTAATTTTGTCGTGTGAATAAGTAAGAAGAACAATTCGGACATTGAGCACCATCCGATTGTTAAACATTCGATATTCGACATTGTTACATTTTTAAATACACAATTATTGCGAAAATTCAATGAACAGTTTCTTAAATTCGTCGACTTTGCACACAAAACCATTGCACATATATCACTAATAACTGTTTCATCCTCAATTTTATTTGTGTGAATGAACAATACTGATAATTGTTGTTGGTATTTTAATAAAATATGCTCTAAATCACTTTTACTATCGATATCAAGTAGTGTCAACCTTCGTAATGAAACAAACTGATTAAAATTGTCAGATATTGAACTGAGTGTACGAACACGAGAATTATGAGTTATTACAATCGATGTTATCCGATCATAGATTTGAGGTACAATATTGATATATCAAATTGAACGTTGTATCATCTATATGTATATGCTGGGAAAACCAATAACCTTAAAAGATGTGGTTGATTCTACAGCTATGACGAATTATGGCGGTTCAGTATATATTTATTTTGCCACTAGTGTTGGAACTTTTTTCGGTCTTCCTGATACTTTCTGTTCCTTACTGATTGATTGTTGGTTACTGATGAATCATTTTTTGATCATACATACTCAGTTTATACGTTACGATGATGCTAGATTGATTACACGTTTTATATGGGAAAAAACTAAGGTGTTTACTCATTGACTTATCGAATTTGACTTGGTAGGCTAATCAGTCGAATCTTTTGTGCCATATAACAATTATACTTTACGGAATGCATACATGCATCTTCATCCAGTATAACCAATCAGAAAAGTTAGTAACCAAACGGGAACATTAAATAATTCTTATAAATTTTGTGTGCTTAAATAAATTTAAAAATTAAAAATTTAAGTGAAAGAAATACATTTTTTCATAAGCGTGAGAGGAAAAAATACATTTTGAAAAAACTTGAACATGAACGCTGCTGTGCAGTACAAAAATCAAAAGACATGTTCTTCTGTTAAGATGCGGACCTATCTGCCTGGCTCAGCTAGCAACTTTTTCGAAATTTCATTAAGATATATGAGAAGGGAAAGTCCACATTATTATCAGTGGACACAAAAAACAGATATTCTATAAAGTCAAACTTAGAATTGAGTTGTCTACACATGGAAAAAGTAATGACGTCGGTGGTCAGGACGTAACATGACGTCAGGAGAATAAAAAGAACATGATGCATAGTATTACTAAGACAGATGACGTCAGTAGAACAGGAAGGAGAAAAGTTACTATTCTAAATAAATGATAACATACGATCTCCTTATGTCGTTATAACATAACAATTTTATATATATGTTGTGGTCAAACTTAGAATTCGGCCAGATTCCACTTTAACTTAGTCTGAATAAATTCGAGCGTCCGATCACGACGGCGATTTTTTCTGTAACTCAGTGTTAATAAAACAGATTTACCGCGGTGAGAATCACAAATGAACACTGCCCCAGATAGAATGAGTTTTCTTTGACAGATAAATATTGTAGAAAGAGTTTTAACTCAGTACGTACACTATGTCAACTTCTTGCAGAGTAATGTTATATCGAATAAGACATAACTCGTTCTATTTATGTGTATCGTCTTATAAATCAGTAATTATTCTCACAAGAGAAAGAAAGAAATAAAATAAAAATTATTTTACTTTAGGCATCAAGCAAAATTGGAGATATCTCATTTAGCACAAGATATGCGTGTGCAAACATCGCGATATATGTGACGTAAAAAAATGAGTAAGAAAAAAGGAGTTTAATAAAGTGTTGAAAGAATAAAATGGTGAATGAAAACAACGCTGCACTGACTTTTTTTTTTAAACAGTTAAATTTTTATTTTAAAAAAATACAGCAAATCGGGCTTTCTCCCATTACATGCTGACAAAAAGTAAAATTTAAAAAAAAGTAATTGCATCATCCTTTAATAAAATGTGGTCTACTGTTAAAGTCTGAATATGAAGAATACTTTTAAAAACAGATTTTAACTTTTGACGTTCATTTTCATATCGGGAACACTCTAAAAAATAATGTCCAGTGGTTTCTTCTACAGAACCGCATGTGCAAAGTGGAGCTGATTGTAATTTACGCTTGTAAAGATCATAATTTAATTGACTGAATTCTACTCTGAAGCGTGTAAAATGAATCTCAGACATTCTAAATTGTGTAGGTTTCAATTTAAACTTTAAAGCATATGGAGCTTTTAGTCTAGTTTTAAAAGTAAAATAGCTGTTTATCATTCGATATTCATTCGGTAAATCATTCCAAAGTTTCTTAGCCGCCGGTAAAAAGGATCTATCATACACTTGCAGACCAGGTTTAGTAGAAGGCAAAAGATTTCTACTTTGACTACGAAGATTATGCTCTTGCGTATAAGTAGTGTGTTGAATGAAGGAAGATGGTAAATCAATGATAGTTCTACCTCTTAATATTTTAAAAAACAAACAAAGACGATGTATTTCAAAAATGGAATATTTAACTAACGGTTCAGCTGTATTTGTGTGCTTAACAGTTAGCGGAATCCATCCTAATTCTATGCACACTTTCTCATACGAAGAACTTCTCATCGCTCCACTAGCAGCTAATGCTGCATTGTATTGTATTGTATGTAGTGGTTCAAGAACTTGCCCATTTTGCCCATCGTTTTTTTCCGATACAATAGAAGTTTGCCCATTAGACTAAAAATCCTGGTTACGCCGCTGTTGAATATATACGTCGTGCATGTGCGAGAAGAGATATCTTCAATTTTGCTAGATGCCTTTGGTGAGAGAACTGTATTTCGTTTTTATTCCATTTTCGCATCTGGCGATATTTATTCTTTATCAGACATATCTATGGCGTGACAGGATCCCTTTTCTTTTTGTTTAATGCCTATCATCGAGATCATATGTTGTCATTTATTTAGAATACTCCTTTCTTTTCTACGGACGTCATATACTTTAGTCAGCATTATGCGTCATGTTCTTTTATTCTCCTGACATCATGACTCCTTTACATTTCTTAGCTGGACTGCTTATAATTTTTGATGCACAAGATAGATTTCTTTCAAAATTCGGTATATTATACCATTAGTGTTATAGTACAAATGTATGATGAAAAATTTTAAAAAGTTTTTTTCTCGCCTTTTTCACAATGTTCTTTAGAAACCGTGTACCTGCGAATTTTGATTGTCGCTTTGTGGCTTCCCCAAAACTCAAAATATCAATTGCAAAAAAAGTACGTTCATAGATAATTGACTATGGTGCATTCAATGGACATATGTTCGGATTTTGTGTTTGAACAGCAAAAGAATTTTAGCAGAATCTCTGGAAACCCACTGGAAATTCTCATAAAGCACTGATTATATGTCCATGAGATACGCAGTAATCGATTTATCATTAAGACTTTATGGTTCAACTTCAAATTCTGATATTTCTGAAAAGGTTTTCTGGAGATTCTTTAAGAACCTCGAACATGTGGTCGTATGGTGCACGTTAGTCGATTAACTTGAGTGCACTTTTGTTTGAGCTTCAAACTTAAAAACTTCTTAAAAGTTATTTGAATTTATCAATTTACGATAGTTTTAATTTCTTAAGTTTTGACCATTTTAATTTTAATTTTAAGCAATTAATAAAGGTTGTTTTTTCCCCAACATAGTTTTATACAGTAACACTCATAGATCATAGAAAACATTTAAGTTTAATAATTGACTAAGTCAAGAATTTTTTATAAGAGTTTTAACTTTTTTTAAAAATATAAGCTTCACTTCACTTCACTTAATTTCAGTTCTAAAGTAAAGCAAAGTGAAGTGGTGTTTTGTTTCCTCTTGTCTATCCATCGAGTTTCGTAAAGCTGTTTTTCTAGGTTTCTTATAACTACGATGTAGAATAGCATAAATCTTCTACATTCTGAAGTTTGGAGCTCGTTCTGTTGTCCTTTTTTCGAGGCCAGAGAGAGGCCTCCAAAAATTCGGTATTACGAATATAGGATTAGGATTTCGAAAATATCTTTAGCAGTTTCTCGCATAAATATAAAGGGAAATATCATAGAAAAGTTGGAGTTGTTCATTATGTAGAATGCAAAGATTGTACTAACATTTACGTCGGACAAACAGGCAATGAAGTAGGCATTAGAATGAACTAGCATCAGAGGAAAATAGACAATAATGATTTGTTTTCAAAATATCTGTATATGTCACAGAAAACAATCATACTGTAAATCTAGACGAATCTTGTATATTAGCATATTAAAAAAATGAAATTAAAAGACAAATGAAAGAGACACTACTGACGCACGAACAAAAAAAGCGAGCCTACAATGATATTTCATTAAAGACGGTAATATTCGATTAAACAATTTGGAAAATAACAGTTCAAAATAGAAAAATGTAACAGTCACTCAGTTCTATACTACATATTTTCTATTTTTAAATTTTTCTAGTGCTTTCGTTCTCCCCTGTTTAAACTAGTACATATAATCATCTCTCGTCTAAAGTTGACAGTCATATTAGCATATTAGCCTGATGATGATACTGCGAAGTATTGAAAGCTCGTTTTTTTATATAAAATGATTTTACAAAAATGTTTTTCAATTATATTAAATATACTTAGTTTTTTAAGAAACGTAAAAAGGTCAAACAATGTAAATATCTTTGTTCTTTGAGTGAATTGTAAATTTTTTAATATTAGGTGAAAACAATCTTGAAATTTCAGTTTTTTGTAAAACTCAGTTTGCAGCAGATCTCTGAACTCTTCATGAAAACGAACGTTACCAGGAGATTCAACACGGTCGATAAGAGCTGTCTAGATTAATTTCTAGGGTTCTAATATGTGGAAAAGGCCAGTGCCGGAGCTCCCAGGAAATCCTATGACAGGTCTAAGCGATCGAAGACGAGAGTCTCACGTGAATCCCATTTTGAAGCAGACACTTTGGACTATTTACCCATGAAAAAAAGTCAAACTATTTGTATTTCAAGGTTTTGAACTATGACATAGTTTTTCAAAGATCTTCTGAGAAACTACTTCAGAAAAACATTTTGAAAATGACTTTCATGATGAAAAGATGCAGTCAGGTCTTGGCTTCCAATTGGTGAAGACCGCAAGCATCTACCACTTTCCTGTCAAACGTTATTCAAGAAACATCTGAGCCCATTCGTTTCT